GGATGTCAGATGATTACATACATAGACAGCACACTCATTTATCCCCCTTGCAAAGAATTAATTACAATCATAAAAAGAAGGCAGAAAAGATGTCAGCTGTGCTCCCCTTCCCTGACACCGAGTGGGCAAAGCCAGGACAAGGGAGAGGTACAGGTGCACAGGACCAGCAATCATAGAAGAAAAGCACCTTATCCGGGGAGAAAATTGCATGAGGTCTCATTAATACCATTAAAATTCAGGGCTGACAAGTGAAGGCTCCTTGGTAATTGCCTGTGGCCACACTGGACCCTGAACTGTTTGAAGCTGCTGTGTCTCCTCCTCCCCCTGCTTCAGCTTGCTGGTGACCTGCTCTGCCCCACTCTCTGCCTACCCCTTCCAGGCTCTACCGCTGCCCGGGCACGATGTGGGTCTGGTGGCCAGCAGCCTGGCAGAAACACAGCTGCTGAGAAGAAAGGGCCTCTGGGGAGTTCAGGCACGAAGTGGACACGAAGGTCATAGGCGGACGGGGATCTGTGTTTTCATCTTTTTTTCCTCTGTCCTCAAGTGTGGGTGTCTGTGCATGAGCAATTACTCGAGCCCATGATCCTGGAGAATGGTCTTTCTCACTCTGTGTCTGTCTGTCCGTCAGTGGGTCTCTGGCTGTCTGCCTCTGTATGGTCTTCCTAAGCTGGGCTCTATATACAGACCATGTCTACTCGTTCTCTTTGCATCTGTCACCACTCTATTTAGAGTTTCTCCTCTATATTTATCCTAGCTCTCTTTCCCTCTTATTGTCTCCCTGCGGTCAGGGCCTGCCTCCATGGGGATTTGTCATTGACTCCTGGGCCTTCCCAGCAAGCAGTATATGGGCTGAAAGTGCCCCAACGCTATCCCTCTGATGGCCCACGTGCTGCAGGTCTTGGGACATGTAGTGAGCTAAGGATCCTTGTTCTCCATAGACTTCTGGAGTTGCAAAACTGGCATAAAGACAGCAACAGCCACCAGGGCCAGGGCCCTCACCTAGAGCATAAGACAAGCAAGCACCTCCTGGTTTACCAGAGTCTTTCCTCCCCGGCTTAGCCTATCATGCTGGGAAAACACACACAGTCACATTCCAGTGGTCAGGCACTAATCTCAGGCTGAGAGTTTGCAGGTAAGTTTTTCAGCCCATCCTCATAATGCACCTTGGAGGTAGATAATTCTGATGTATGCGTTTTTTCAAATGAGGAAACAAAAGTTCAGAGAGGTGAGGTAACTTATCTGAGGACACACAGCTAGACAGAACAGAGTTCTCTAGGCTCAGCATCCACACTCCTGACCGTTTTGCAATACTGCCTCAGTGTATTGAAGTGTGGGACACAAACATGTGTAAGCCACACTAGTGTGCATCTTGTATCTGTGAGGTTTGTGCATGAACATGGGGGTTCTATGCATGTGTGTTGCTCTTGTGTTTTAAGATCTGGCTCTTCTTTTCAAGAAGTTCCTGTGGACAATTACAATGTCCCTTTATACATTGTTCAGTCTTTGCCAAAAATATGACGAAATGGCATCCCTGAGCCCGAAGGACCTTCCTGGTGAATGGCCCCTGCTGGGGTGGAGCACATGCCCTCCTGCCTTGGCTTGGCTGCATCACACACACGGTGATGGCGCTACACACCACCAGCAGGCGACATAGTCTGGTGCTATGCCTCAAGGACTCTCTTCCTTGTCCTCCAATGCCCTGAGGCTGCCTGACTAGGCCAAGCAGCCATGGGAGCAGTGGGGCTCATGCTTAGAGCCCTGGGCTGCCCATATTCACCTGCCAGGAATCTACTCAGAAGGCCAGTGTTCTCTTCTGGGGTTTTGGTAGATGATGCAGCTCATCTTGTCAACAAAATGGCTGCCCAATGTGAGGAGGGTCTCCTCTTGCTTCACAACTCCCTTCCTTTATCAGATAGGAACACACGCATTGAGCGGGGGCCGCCTGGGCTTACGGTGATGCCCAAGGCTTCGGGATGCCTCGCCTGATGATTTTCAAACTGTACCTGAGACTCTTGGCTTCTCCAAGAGGTGCCTCAGTGGCTGCTCAAAGCTGGGGTCGGGAGGGTGGGTGTCTGAGGGACACTCAGAGGTTGGGAGTCTGTCTACCCTCCTCTAACTAGGGCAGCTCTAATTTTCTGTGTTCTACCAAGTGAGCTTTCTTGTAAGAGTTCAGTTAGTCCCCCACCCAAATGTGCGTCACACTTTGTCTTTTTAAAAAGGGTTCCAGATGCCACGCGCCCATCAGCTCCACTCCTAACCATGACTCTTAGATAGGGACAGGCAAGCATTTAGCTCCTCCCTCCTAGCCCAGTGAGTAAAGTGGAAACAGACCTCCAGAGGGCTAGGAGGGATATTTGGGGGTTGCATGGACAAGTCTAACAGGACTTTCCCTATCTCAGCTGCACCCTGGGCTCCCTCTTTACTGCAGGTATCTTGGCCAAGACATGTGGGTCCCTGGGTAGCTGGGCTTCATGTCTTGGGATTCCTCACTAAAGGTAGTGGTGCTAAAGCCACAGGAGTCATTAGGTCATTCTGAATTCAGAGGAAGGGTGCTAGACCATGTTGCCTCTGAGAGCTGATTTATGGAGGACAGAGCAGGTACAAAGAAGGGAGATGGGAGCACTTCAGACTTCACCTATCTTGTAGCTCCTTCCAGAGGCCAGAGGCCTGAACCCTGAGCCCTGAGCCCCTTGGAGGCCCTGCAGCTCCCAGCCAGGAGAAGGGGCAGAGCCCTGCGTTCACCCAGAGCTGACCTCTAGTGGAGAGTCTGTGGATGGTGCCACAGCTCTCAGGTGATCAGCATCTCAGATCCCAGAAAGCATCTCCAGGGGTCTCAGCTGGAGATAAGGGGTGAGTCTACCACATTATATGCACAGGGCACTTTGGCTCTAGGGTGACCGCAAGGCTCCTCCTTGGCTGATTTGGCCTCTGAGCAGGAGAAATCACCCTACTCTGTTCGTTCATCATGCCAGCTGTTGAGGCTGTGGCATCTCCACTCCAGAGGGTTTTCTCCAGCCTTGCTCAGGGTGCATCTTCTGGACTGGGGCTCAGTCTCAGCTTCTCTCCCCATCCCTCCTTCAGCCTGGCTCCTTTCTGTGGAGAAGATTCTGAGAGGAACCACAGCTTGGTAAGTCCCCTGCATAGCCCGGATACCTGTTGCTAAGCAATGATCTCTACACAAAGGCGATAGGGAATTGTCTCCAATCTTGACCTGAACTCAGGGAGACTACAACATAGAAGTTCAGAAGTTCTGTTTTAAGACGCCATTTAGACCCAAAATACTGAGTATTTAACTTATAATTAAGTTAAATCACCTGGTCCTCTGAGTGATGGCAGAAAGAGCTGTGAGAACTGACTGGTGCTTTGAGTTTTCCAAAAGCAATGCTTAGGTAACCAGTGACTGATGAAACAACACAAAATAATACTCATACTTTGCTCCCGAGGGATAGTGTCAGAGGGGTGTCCACCTGGTTTGGAGAAAGGCGCTCACACAGGTCCATAGCAAGACCTGAGCCCCATCCAGGGGACAGGGGAAGCTTTATTTAGACCCTGCTGGGAAGCTGCAGCCAGAGGGGCTGGAGGCAGGTTGGGTAGAGCAGCTTCTGGCAGTCATCGAGCCCTTTGTGCTGGGAACTTGCCCAGCCTGAGCAGGGCACTCTCCATGTGGCACCCCAGGAACACTTCAGTATTTTGGGTCTAAGTGACATCTTATAACAGAACTTTTGAACTTCTATGTTGTAGCCTTCCTGAGTTCAGGCTAAGATTGGAGACAATTCCCTATGGCCTTTGTGTAGAGATCATTCCCAAAGGGACTCTCCATAGACAGCTGGGAAACTTTCATCTCAGCACTGTACCTTTGGCGAAGTGTTGGGGGAGGCCCTTACATTGTTATGAAGAGTCTCCTTTTTTTTTTTTGAGACAGGGTCTCACTCTGTTGCCCAGGCAGGAGTGCAGTGATACGATTACAGCTCAATGAAACCTCGACCTCCTGGGCTCAAGTGATTCTCCCACTTCAACCTCCCAAATAACTGGGGGTAGCTAAGACTACAGGTGTGTGCCAACACATCTGGCTAGTTTTTGTATTTTTGTAGATATGGGGTTTTGCCATGTTGCCCAGGCTGGTCTCAAACTCCTGGGCTCAAGTGATCTGCCCACCTCGGCCTCCCAAAGTGCTGGGATTACAGGCCTGAGCCATTGCACCCAGCCCCAAAGTATCCTTACTGACAGCCTCATGAGGGGAGTCTAGTCCTAGGTGTGCAGGGATGGAGGGCTGCTATCTAATACATTTGAGAAACCAGTACAGTGTGGGGTCTGGAAACCAGTCCTGCCCTGACAGGCTGAAGGTCCAGCTGAACCTGAAGAAGAGGAGACTCCAGGGACAGGGGCACCTGTCATATCTGAAGGTCTGTCATACATCTTATTCTTCCAGCTCCAAAAGGGAGACCAGGGCTAGTAGGGCCCAGAGTGTGTTCAACGGCAGAGAATCTTGTAGCAATCATAGACCCTGCACGTGTTTGGGTCTCTGAGCCAGACAGAAATAGGGACCCAGTGGACCCCAATGTCTGTCCTGCTCTCACGTTCTGAGCCTCTAGGCACAGACCATCATGTTCCCATGGAGACATCAAGCAAGCAGATGCCTTCCTTTTTCATCTTTTGCATGAAGAACCAGCTACTTACCCACAGTCAGTGATGATTCTGTGACCAGGAGGACACACAGGATGCAGCAAATGCCATCCTTAGGGTAAAACTGGACGCTAGGGAGCACCAGGGTTTGTGGCTGAGCATATCACTTCCCAGGAAAGAATCAGGGTTTTGTTAAGGAATAAAAGGAGAGTGGATAATGGGTAGACAACCAGCAATGTTTGCCAGAGTCCTTAAAGCTCATCTAGCTCAAACTCCCATTTCACACACAAGCAAAATGAGTTACATAAATAATTTCATAGTCAAACAGTTAGACTCTGGGCTGAAACTCAGAACTGTGGACTCTCAGGACAAGGTTGTTTTATCAGTACTGCAATTCAATAATATTTATTAAATATGCACAGGATTTGATGACTGGCAGAATACTGGAGATAGGAGTAGAAAAAGAGGAATCAAGAATTACTCCAAAATTTTCCATCCTAAAGAGAGAAAAAAAGTACAAAGTTAGGAAAGAGATGAGAGGTAACTGAGTTTAAGTCAGATGCACACATGCATGTATAGGAGATTGTGGGGAGACACACTGGGAGTGAGGAGCTAGGGGCCCTGGGTGGGGAGGTGCATGGCACAGAATTGTAACCGACAAGTCTGGTTGGAATACAAACCTTGGGGGTCCCCACCCAAGGTAGTGGTGCTAAAGCCACAGGAGTCATTAGGTCTTCAGGAGTCAGTGTTGGAGAGGAGCAAAGTTCTGGGCACTTCCATGTGCCCCTCCGTGGAGGGGAATCTGGGGGGAATGGGAAGCAGAGAAGGTGCAGCCAGGTGAGAGGTGGGGCATCAGGATGGCAGAGACGATCTAGTGGAGAATACAGTGAAAGCACCTTGGAAACCACAACGTGTTCATCAGAATCTGCTTGTTACCTCTCCTGAAAATCATCACGATGATGTATGTAAGGTGTCCATCCTGCTTCCGATAGAACTGATAATTATTATGCCTGTTACAGGCTTCTATCACATATAACTACGTATTTGAAGCCTGGCTTGTAAACCGCACAATTGTAAATGTAAATTCTAGGACTGTTAACAACTCTGACTGTAAGTGCCATGAGGTCAGGGACGGGGTCTCTTTTTCTTTTTTTTTTTTTTTTTTTTGAGACGGAGTCTCGCTCTGTCGCCCAGGCTGGAGTGCAGTGGCCAGATCTCAGCTCACTGCAAGCTCCGCCTCCCGGGTTTACGCGATTCTCCTGCCTCAGCCTCCCGAGTAGCTGGGACTACAGGCACCCGCCACCTCGCCCGGCTAGTTTTTTGTATTTTTTAGTAGAGACGGGGTTTCACCGTGTTAGCCAGGATGGTCTCGATCTCCTGACCTCGTGATCCGCCCGTCTCGGCCTCCCAAAGTGCTGGGATTACAGGCCTGAGCCACCGCGCCCGGCCCGGGGTCTCTTTTTCTCGGCTCATACAGTACATATGCAGTAAATATTCATTGAATAAATGAACGATTCATCTTGCAATTACTTTTAGCCTCTGGACTTCTCAATGGCAGGGACTCATGTCTTGATTCATCAGTAGCCAACACAATGCCTGGCACAAGGCAGCCCTTCGGGTGTTGTAGTCGTTTCCTGTGGCTGTTGTAACAAACTCCCAAAAACTGGACGGCTTACAGCAACATTTGCTCTCTCACTGTTCTGGAGACTAGATAGTCTCCACAGCCCAGAAGGTGCGTAGGGTGGGTGTTCTTCAATTCACACATGCGAAACCTAAGTAAGGCCTAAGGAGCAACGCCAAGGCCACTTAGCCATTTAACATTTTGCGGGTATTTATTGATCATCTCCTGATCTAGGGCTGCTGAATTTTTGTTCAGGGATGCTTAAACTCCCCTCAGATTGGCCCTGATCTGAGATAGTCACTTCAAGTCCACATCTCAGGACCTTTCGGAGGGTTCACTTCCTATGAGAACTGCCCTTGGCAACTTGAGTTGAGCTCTGTGGGTGTCCAGAATTAATCTCTGTGGTACACTAAATAATGGCCCTGCCAAAGATGTCCATATCCTAATCCCTGGAACCTGTGCATGTGTTACCTCCCATGGTAAAAGGGACTCTTCAGGTGTGATTAAATGAATGACTGTGAGATGGTGAGATTACTCTGAATTACCTAGGTGGTCTGATGTAATCACAAGCGTCCTTATAAAAGGGAAACAGGAAGGTCAGACAGAAAAGATGTTGACTTGTTGGCTTTGAAAGCAGAAGAAGGGAGCACAGGCCAGGAATGCAGGTGGCCTGTAGTCGCTGGAGAGAGCAAGGAAACAGATTCTCCCTTAGAGCCTTCAGAAGGAATACAGCTCTGCTTACACCTTGATTTTAGATTTCTGACTCTAGAACTATTCAGGAACAAATCTGTGTCATTTTAAGCCACTAAGTGTGTGGTAATTTGTTCCTGTGGCAATAGGAGACTAATACAGTCTCTGACCCTATGCCTCATTATAAGATTAGAACTTTGAGGCTGGACCTGTGACTTCTTAGGAATCAGGGCCTTCATTTGCCAGTTCATTGGCATTTCTGCATAAACTGGTCCTGTCTTACCTTTATCTCTGGTATCATCACCCATTGGATTTTCCTGGCAAGAGAAACCGTGTTCTTGTCTTTGGCCACCTACAGAAGACTAATCTAGCAACCCAACAATGGGAAACTCATCCAGGTGAGCAGGAAATAGGCAGGCCTTGACTTTGACCTGCAGCACCTGGATTTTGAAACTCAAAACCAGCAAAGCCTGGCTTGTAGAGCTATGGCATGGAAAGAACCTGGCTGAAGTGGTGGCTGCTATGGGAGAAAGGAAAAACCAGGTTTTTCTTCTAAGGGGCAGGGGTCTCTGGCAGCGATGTGTAAGCATGAGAGACTTCTGGGACTAGCAATGCTTAAAGAGGAAATATGACCACAATTATTGCATATACTGCTATTGATAGCAATGACGACAATAACTGTAATCATGAAAGAAGGAAAAGAGTAACAAATATTATTTATTGTGTTTGCAATGTGCCTGGAACTCTTCTAAGCATTTTGCACATACTTTTAAATCTTCACAATAGCCTATAAGATGTTTGCTCTTCTTATCCCTGTTTTGCAGGTGAAAAACCAGAGCATAGAGACGTTAAGTAATTGCCTAAAAAACAGAATTAGAACCCGTGATTAGATTAGTCTGATTCTAAGGAGTGTACTCTCGAATCAAATGTAAAAATATGAATCTGTGTCATCACAGATACCAGAGCACTTTCTTATTTGCGGTTTCACTTTGGTACACAGCGCAGCAGGAAGGGACCCTTATCTCCATTCTTCAGATAAGGAAAAGGAGGCCAAGTGATAAGGTCCAGGGAAAAGTCCGCACCATCATCCCTGTTAAATGTCTGTGTGGTGTATCCACAGACAGCATGGTCCCAAGCTACTGTTATGGGGAAGTAAATGTGGTAGAAGAAAGGGTTACCATTTATTGAGCAATTCCTATGTGTCCCCCAGGGTTGGTGTTAATGCACTATCCCTTGTGTACTCAATCCTCACGACAATGTCATGATGTTGAGACCAGAGAAGTTAAGGAACTTGTTTCAGGTCACATAGCTATAATAGTTGGTGGCCACACCAAAGCTAGAAACATTCACGTGCTCTTGGCTTGAGAGAAGCTTCATTATAGCTCAATGCAAATAGCTTTCTCACCACTACTTGCAGATGTCAGTGAGGCTGTGCTGTCCTGGGGCACCTCTGGAGTTGGAGGGCACCTCTGCATGTCCTAAGGGCTCAGAGTTGTTTAGTACCTCAGTGCCCACCAAGCACTTCCCCTGACCTCCCCACTCAATTGTCACACCAGGACTCTTTCAGGTATTCGGGTTTAATCCTCTGTAATGACTAAAACATGTTTCTCAAAAGACATTTGTTTAAAAAAAAAAAAAAGAAAGAAAGAAAGGCTGAAGAATCATTTTTGCTGTTAGATGATATATTCTAGGACAAAAGCACTTCAGCTTTGTGTCTGAGGAAGAACCTGGAAGCAATTTCCATTGTCACTGGGGTGATTCCTCTGCACATTCACTGTTCTATTTCATTTAAATGCTCAGATGCCCCTACTCCCTGAGCCTGCAAGCTTCCCTTGGCCAGCTACCAAGCTCTGCCCATTTGTTCTCCCAACATGGTCCCCTAATTAAATCTTCAGGGTTTTTAATTTTCATGCACATGAATATGTAAAATGAAGGAGGCTGGGAGAGAACCTGGTGTGGAACAAGGCCTGGTGCAGCTCAGAGGGCAAGGTCAGGACGTGGACTCCCTCCAGGAGAAAGGCACGCGTGGAGCCCCGGACACTGCCTGGGCATTGTGCAGTCCTTGGTTTGAGCATTCAGGGAGGATGTCTCTGAGCAGATGTCCCCTGGCCTCGTCTGAAAGCCGAGGGAAGAAAAAATCATTTTATCCAGGAGAGTAAGGAGGAAACTTACTGTTTTCACGGACATGGCCATCAGCAAAGGCACTGCCTCCACTCCCCACCCTGGGCAATGAGGAGTGAGAGTGCCCTGGGATAGCGCTAGGACAGCTTTTTCGGCACTCTGTCCACCTGGCCCTGACACGGTACTTCAAATTTGTCTAGGAAATTCACAACAGAATTTGTAAATATGTCTCTCTCTCTCTTTCTCTCCTGAATGTTAATCTCAAGAGAGGAGAGCCCTTCACTTCTTTTCCTCCTCTGTCTCCCAGGTGGAGAGGCTGCTGGGGAGGTTTGTCTGATGCGCCCAGCCACTAAACCTGAAAGCAAGCAGAACCTTAAGGATTTTCTTTCCACATTTTACCCACAACACTGGACTTCATTTACTTTACCTGCTCCTTCTTCTTCCTGCAGGAGCAAAAACTTCCAGCAGTTCTTATCCTGAGATCTAACAGAGTCACCACATTTGGTAGCTTCTTGGGCAGAATGAGAGGTGGGAAACCTTGACATCAATCCCTCAGCTATATATAGTATCTGATGTGTGAGACCAGAAGACACATCAATGCCAGCGCAGTGAAGGTCTTTGCCAGCATGATGATTAATATGGCCATGAAGATAGGCCTAGACTATAGGTTCAGACTCTAAAATACCAGTCAACCGAAAGGTAGTCAGCCTGAGGGAGGAAAAGCGCATGCCTTCCTAGTGGGCCACCCTGGAATGGACTTCGCTGAGGGTGAATAGTGTAGCAAGAGTGGGAATTTCTCCCCTTCGCTGTGGAAATGTGCTATTTTCCGGGGCGGTGTATCAGGTTACATTGCACTGTCATCCTCCAGATGCCAATAGTGCGTGTGAGTGGGGCTAGGGGACATTATGGATTGAATTGTATCCCCTAAAATTCATATGTTGAAGTCCTCACACCTAGTACTTCAGAATGTGACCGCATTTCAGGATAGGTCTTTACAAAGGTATTCAAGTGAAAATGAGTTCACTAGGAGAGCCTTACTCCCATCTGACTGCTGTCCTCATAAGAAGGGGAAATTTGGACACACACAGCTGCCCAGAGGGAAGACTACACAAGGGTGTAGGGAGAAGATGGCCATTTGCAAGTCAAGGAGAGAGGCCTGAAACAGATCCTTTCCTCGAGGGAGAAACCAGCGCCACTGACACCTTGATTTCAGATGTCTAGCCTCCAGAACTGCCAGACAAATTTCTGTTGGTTAAGCCACCCTCTTTGCGGCACTTTGTTACAGCAGTTCTGGCAAATGAATACCAGGGACTCCTTTAGCCAAAAGCCCCCACAGAACAAAAAATAACAAAACAAATGAACGAACAACCAAACACACCTCTAGCAAAATTTCACGACTTGGTGGATAAGTAGAGATAAAAAGTTTCTTCCAGGGGACCCAGAAGCTCACCATTCAACTTCTAGGGCCTGCAATGGTAACACTTCTAACTGTGAATAAGAAGGAAGAGACCGTTTGCCAAACCAAATCAGACGGCGGGAGTAGTGGTATCATTATTTTTTAAAAGTAATCAGCAAAGCTCATGAAAAACTGTGGCTTGTCTGTGGTTCAGGGCTATGTTATGGAATGCCAAATCTGCTTTTCTCTTATGAAATAGGATTCAGGACAGGCCAGCCCTATGTGATCTAAGAGGTAGGAGAAGATCGGTACATCTCACATTTATTAGGTGTCTGTAAGGGATAAATAGTTTTTTATCTTGTTTAATTCCCCAGGCAACCCTGCCAAGTACGTTTTCATCCTTGATTTAAGATATCATGGAGAATCAGAGGGCTTGAGTAACTCACCCAAGTTCACCCAGTTAGCTGTGTTTTGGAGGAGTATTCCTCCGATGCACGTATTCTTTCCGGAACCATAAATTTCCTTCAGATCAAGGGTCTTCATTAGATATCTGAGATGTTGACCTTGGTGTCCCCCACCCTGACCTTCGGCCTGATTTAAGATAAGTACTTATTTTAAATAACACTTAGTTCTTAGTGATTCAGTGAATGCTCTTCAGGCTCCATGTGGCAATTCTGCTTTTAGTGGAGCCTCTTACCCACTCGCTGCTCATTTCCCAGCATACCACCTCAAGGGGCAGAAGGAGGAGCAGCAAGTACTGTGGATTGATGCCTCCCCTTTATACTCCCTGGGTCATAAGGATAGCCCAAACCTAGCTTCGTTTACTGGGTAGAATATATTCTGTTGGCATGAAGAATTTCTAAGAGCAAACTGTACAAGACATGGGCAATTTAGAAGCATATGGTAGAACTATAGGCTGTAGCTTGTCATGGTTTAGAAAACAAGTTTAGTTTTGTATTTCCAGTTTGCCTCAATGCCAAGTAGCTGCATGAGTCCTCACATTCCTAGTCTTTAAAGAAAATGAGTACTTTATGGTGGGATTTCGGGGACCAGCTCCCAAGTTCAGGTTGGGCTTGCCCTTTCCAAAGCCTTCTGAGGCATTCTTGTTCTGCTCCCAGTGGACTCCAGCCCCAGGATCCTTTTATCCTGGCTTTATAGAGAAGATGTGACAACAGACAGTTTCTTGCCTCACAGTGTAGCACTAACTTGTGTTTTTCTTCCAGGTTTAATTTTTTTTTTTTTTAAATAATTCTGATCCTTGTTAATTCTGATTGTGGGTTCCAATCCTGTCCTAGCCCCTCCCCTGAAGACCTGAGACACCTGTATTCAGTCAGTCATCAGTTCTGCTGCATTTGCCTCTCACACCCAGATGATGTTTCATTGATCACAATGGGACAGTACATAGACTTTGGAAAGAGCTTGCTCACTGGACCCTGCCAGTAAATTGACACCTTCCCCATCACAATGCTTCTTATGCTAGTCACCAAATTAACTTTTAGCTCGTCTGGCTTTCCCTATTGTCGCTTTTCAATTTTGTCTTCAAATTATTCACCTGACAGAGTAATTGTCTCTCCTCCAAACTGTCGTCTGCAGTGACACCTTCATCCTTGGAGCTCTGTTTTATAAATATCCATAATTTTGAGAATAAACTCAGCTTAACTACTTTGAGGTTACAGCCCCCAGGAGAGTAAACCATCCCCAAGACCTCTGTTAGCATACTCCGAGCAGTTTTCACGTATCATTGACTTCACCAATACCAGAGAGTCCTATTACCTTCAGAATCCTTTAGCATTTTCATTCCTTTGAGGTCTCATTATATGATAGTACAGTGGTTCTCAAACTTGGAGGAGCATCAGAACCACCTGGAGGGTTTATTAAAACCTGATAGCTGGGCCCCACCCCCAAAGTTTCTGATACTGCAGGTCAGGGTGGGGCCTGATAATTTGCGTTTCTAAGAGGTTCCCAGATGATGTCGATGTTGCTGGTTGGAGAATCATACTTTGAGAATGACCATGATAGTGTATGTATAAGGTATTCATATTCTGCCTATTTAGAATGTAGGCTAATGTCCCAATAAGACAAATGATCAAATTCGTGTAGTTCATTCATTCATTTGGTAAATATATACTCATTACCTGCTGATCACTGACCAGGCCTTGGGGATGAGATGGTAAACAGATGGACTTGATTGCTGTCCTTACAGAGGAGGAGACAGAGCAGCTACGAGGATACAACGGACCAAGAGGCACCCCGGGGGAAGCACAGGCTGCTCCTGAAGCCCAGGGCAGGGACCCCAACACATCTGTGAGTGAGTGAATAAGGGGGAAGGGAGGAGGCATGCAGGGTCTCCTGGAGGAAGTGCATCTATGCTAGATATTGAGACAGAGTAGAAGAGAACCAGAGGAAGTGAGGGAGAAGCGTATTCCAGGTAAACGGGATGGCATGTATACAGATCTGGGAGGGCTTTGGTATGGTGTCATATGGAAAGTGGAAGGAGTTCAGTACTTAGTGGGGAGAGAGTCTGTGTGAGAGAGGAGTGGGGGAGCGTAACGAGATACTGGAGGCTGGGGTTGGCCATGACAGCTGGTGAGGCTAGGCAGTGGTTCTCCAAGTTGTCCTTTGGCCAGCAGCATCAGCATCACCTGAGAACGAGTTGGAAATGTAACTCTGGGGGTAAGGCCCAATCCGTGTTTTAACAAGCTCTCTAGGTAGGGCCAGGAAAGACATACTAGGGCATCTGGATTTGATCCTACAGTGCCCACAGCACAGAATCAGTTCCCAGTAAACACAGGGAGCGTTGTTTCTTCATTGAAGGCGTTGTATTTACAGGGATCAGAAATAAAGGCATTAGCTGAACCTGGTTCCTCATGATTTCCAAATATATTTATCAACACAACAGAATAAACTCAATCAACTTGTGTGGGAAGAAGGAGGGTGCTCTGGTAGTGAAAAGTTCTGGACAGCTGAGGTGGGGCTTGAACATGCTCATACCGTGAATGTATTTGGGCGCAGGGCCTTGCCATTTACTTTAATGTTAGGATCTACCTCTCCCCACGGCTTTCATCTTCTGATAGCTCTGATGGTAGAGGGTCAATGCTGCAGATGTGTGTAACCCTCCAGGATTCAGCAGTCTCTGTGGCTGTGAGTCAGGTATTGCTCTGCCTTTTTCTGTGCCCAATTCTGGTGCCTGCTTTCTGATTTGGGAACCTTCCTCAGATTCTTAGGACTCTGCTTTACCCCTGGCACTACTTCCCTGCATCCTCCAACATGAGCCCCAGCCCATTGCCTGGGACAGCAGCTCATGGCCAGGCCTCCCTGGCCTGCCTGTCTGCCTGGATCTTTGGTCAGGGCTACCTTGTAGGGACTTGTACTATTCTTGTAGTAGAAAGGTTCCTAACCATCTGCCTGCCCACTTTCTCCTAGCGGAGGACTGACAGAAAGAATTGGGCTGTGAACATAGGAACTGGAGAAGCAGAGCCATGGTGTAAGGAGAGTGAGGCCAGAACAGTCACAAGGTTTGTGCAGTCCACACCAAGGGCAGATGGAAATCGCATGCAAGTGGAGAGTGCTGGTCAGAGGAGAGGGGAGGGCAGATGGAGCAGGCTCCAGGGAAAAGAGGAGCAATGAAGGAGAAAGCCGTACTCATTGTTTCTTTGCTCCTGATAGCCTTTAAGTTTCAGTTTGCCCATGACCTGGCACCCACATTTCACTCCAAGAGCTCTGAAACCCCCTGACTAACTCTATTTTTAACAACTGGCTTGAGAGGTCCCTGTAGCTCCTCAGTGGGACTCTCTCTGTCACTTGTGTGCTTGGGATTGATTAAATTTGTCCAGAGGCTACAGAGCCCCTTGGATACTCACCCTACCCACATAGACCAGGCTTTGCTCTGAAAGGGGATCTGGTCTGCACTCCAGCCCTCCCACTTGGCTTCATCTTGCTACCTGGTACTCCCTGGGCCGAGCTGTGGAGAGAGGCTGGCTGTTGGCCTGTGCACATTGGAGTGATGTGGCCTTTCAAACCAATGTATTAAAAAATGGGCCACAAGGTGCCCAGGTCCAAGGCTGTTGACATAGACACGCTTTGTACAATGTGGCTAGCATTTTAATGTAGGCGGTTACCTTCCTCTTTTCCAAAGAAAGAGGCCTCATTTGGAGGCTGAATTGCCTTCTCCCTTCAACTGAAAGACTGTTTCAATAGGTTAATATCATAGACATTTACAATCAAGCTGGAGGGTTTTGGGGAAATGGAAAGGAAGTGTTCTGGCCTTCCAGGCTCCACACTTTAGCCCATATCAAGATTCCAGACTAGCAGGTCTCACTTTATGGGCATGGGACCTGGAAAGTCACATAGGGCTCTGCACTTATGCTCTGCCATTTAAAAATTCTGAATAGCTGTTTTGCAAGGAGGCCTACATTTTCATTTTGCAATGGGACTTGTAGGTGAAGTAGCAAGTCCTACAGATGGAGTCCTAGTCTGGCCTTTTCCTGACTCCCACACTGATTATTCCAAGGTAACTTCAGATGCACAAATCTGGGTCTGGTTACTCTAAGTTCTTGCTGAAGGCTTTGTTGTTTGAAAGCAAACATTTTTGAGTGTCTATGCTGTGCCAGGTGCCATGCTCTGTTCAGGGAGCTCTTCCTTTAAGGGAGGAGATAGTTGCAGAACTGGATTATCAAAATTCAGGAGCAGCTATTCTGACCTAGCTACAGAGAGATAAGAGCCTTCCTGAAGGTGAAGACACTGAGTTGAGTGATAGATGATTATTGATCAGTCAAATAAAACTAGGGGAAAGTATTGTAGGCAGAGAGACAGCCAGAACAAAAAGCTGGGGACGCAGAGTGTCAGAGTGTGCTCCAGGAGCTTCACACACGTGGGGAGGACATAGCCTGAGACCAGGAGTTACCGGAGATGAGGCTAGAGGGACCAATGGGGTCCAGATCACAGGGCCTTTTATACACTCAAGGAAAGTGGAATCAGTAGCATCAAATGGGGAACCACAAAAGGCTCAGAAACAGGCAGGGACATGATCAGATTTGTGTACTGGATAGATTCCTCGAGTGGCTGTGTATGGGAATGGACAAAAGGCAGTGTGCCTGGGGGTGTCTGTAACATGTGACTCCATTATTGGGATTATCTTTAGTCAGGCAGACCCGAATTTTTCAGGAACAAGGACATCATTTGTCCTGCTGCAGACTTTGCCTACAGATTTGAATGTCCCAATCTCCATTTTAAAGTTACTGGAGCTCTAATTAAGGCCACGAAAGGCTTTCACTGTGACCAGAGGCATTTTTACCTTTCTTCTTCTTCATGATGCCAGAAGCACTGAGAACCCTTCTACCTTCTCAGTCAGCACTGGCATACCTTCTCAAGTCCGGGCTGGTCCAGGCATGGGAAACACTGGGATTTCAGATGTCCAAGTACCAACTACTTGTATGGCTGACTCTAAAATGGAATGTCTTCTCCAAGTGCCTGCTCACTGGAAAGCACGACTAAACAAGTAGGGTGGTATGGAAGGTGGAAGTCTAAAGATGTCTTTTAACATTCTATCCCCTGGTTATCCAATGAAACATTAATCTAGACACTGCTGTCAAGGAACTTTGAAGATGCAATTAAGATTGTTAATCACTGGGCTGTAAGATAGGGAGACTATCCAGACTTGGCCCAGTGGGCCCAATATAATCACGTGAGCTCCTCCATAGCAGAAGAGGGGTCAAAAGAGCTTCAAGCATGAGAAGGCTTTGATGTGCTGTTGCTGGTTCTAAGATAGAAGGGACTAGAGAGAAGTTTCTAGGAGCTAAGAGGAGCACTCCAGCGGACATCTAGCAAGGAAACAGGGGACTCGGTCCTACAACCTGAAGGAACTGGTCAGGCCAGGGAGCTCAGACTTTGAGACTCACAAAGTAGAATCACTTTGGGTGGCTCTGTAGTGAAGGAAGTGTGATTTTTTTGTGGGCTCCAAATAGGCAAGAGAACACATTCCTAATTGACTGCATGTCTCAAAAGACGCAGTACCGAGTTGCTCGGTGATTCTGAATATGGTCCGGGACCATCAGGATCAGCATTACCCGGGAATCTGTAAAACAGCAAATTCTTGGGTCCTACTTCAGACCACTGAATCAGAAAGTGTGGTGGAGGCAGAATTGTGTTTAAACAAGGTCCCCCAACCCCAGGTAATTCTGGTGGTCACTCCTGTTTGAGGGTCACTGCTTTAACTCTAGCACGGTGAGTCTCAACCTTGGCCACACATTCAGGTCACCTGGGAAGTTCTCAGAATAACAGCTGCCTAAGACTGTATGTGAAACCAATTTACTTACAATTTCTGGGGCGAGGCTTGGATATTTGTAATTTTTAAACAGTTCCACAGGGACTCCAATATCCACTGAGAATTACTGGCCAGGTGCCTGGCACATAATTGAAGCTTGATAAATATTTCCTGTCTGGATGGACAGTTAATAATTACTCTGAAACTCCTTGATGTTAGTGATTGTTCTCCCATTGGAGTAACCCTAAGGCCTAACCCTAAGAGGCCCCAAGAAGCTGTATGCATTATGGGAGGGACCAGCCTTTTGGAAGATTACAACCTTAGTCCTGGTTGTCATCTTACCTCTAAGCCCTATTCTGATCTCTAATCTGGCCTACTTATGCTTACCCTGAAAGGGCAGAAATGACATACAGGTGTATGTCAAGGGCTTATGGTTATTTCTCTTCCCTCTCACATCATGTGCTAGGCCTAAGGGCAAGGAAGGTAAATAGGCTCATTTCTTAGACCTGGGGGATTTCTACCAGGCCAGCTCCTGTATCATGCCCAGAGCTTTCTCTCTGTCATTGTGTTGGTGTGCAGCACTGGCACATCAAGTCTACTTTTCTTCTCTTGGGATGCTTCCTCCATTAAGCTAAGCTGCCAGCAAGTGCGTGGTGGGTCTTTGTCTTTGTAGTCCAAATGGCCAGGGTTCTCCAGAGGGTGGATAACAGAGGCCCAGATTATGGGACTGAGATCTGGCTGCCCACTGAAATCTCTTGGGAAGAGGGTAACAATTCCTACTACTGTTTCCCATCCAGACTGTAACTCAGGACATTCAATAGCAGGAATCTCAAATCTATGTTTTTTTTTTTTTTTTTTTGAGACGGAGTCTCACTTTGTCGCCCAGGCTGGAATGCAGTGGCGCAATCTCGGCTCACTGCAAGCTCCGCCTCCCGGGTTCACGCCATTCTCCTGCCTCAGCCTCCGAGTAGCTGGGACTACAGGCGCCCGCCACCTCGCCAGGCTAATTTTTTTGTATTTTTAGTAGAGACGGGGTTTCACCACGTTAGCCAGGATGGTCTCGATCTCCCGACCTCGTGATCCACCCGCCTCGGCCTCCCAAAGTGCTGGGATTACAGGCGTGAGCCACCGCACCCGGCCAAATCTATGTTTTTAATAGAACCCCAGGTGATTCTGAGGTAGCCAGTCCATGAGAGTCTGGGGATCACTGAATCCTAACATACTTTTTCCACAGTTATGCTTTTTCTAGGAAAAGAAGTCTTGAGGTTGTTAAGCTGTCATTAGCAAAAGGACTGCACAAATAATTTAAGTAAAAATTAAAGAAATTTTTAAATAAACACTTTGGAAGGGCAATTCTCTCTATTTCTGGTTTTTTTTCCCCCCACTCACTTGATTCAATTCTCAGGATTTGGTGGTGTTTCTTAAATGAGTCTCTGATTTCACAATTTATCTTGTTTCTCCTTGTGATTTTGAAACATTAAGCTAGTTTATTGTCAAATACCATTCAAATTGCTTTTACTTTTTTTTACTCCCTCGCCGCAATCATCGCTTCACTGTGTTATAGTTGATGAGGGGTGAGATAGCTTGATCTCCCTACTCACAGTATTTTTGCCATTCCCCCTCTGAGATTCCACCTTCTTCTTGTCAAGTGGCAAAGGAAAAATATAAATGGTTAAGTAACAGTATCATCAGGCCCACTCCTGAGTTCTCTTGCGTCTGTTTTGACTTAATCACTAGTACATATGCTGACTAGCTTCAAAGTCTTTCAGAGTTACAGCTTGTGTTGATGCTAATTTGGAAAACAATGATAAGATTTATACAACAAATACTTTTCTCCCGATTCCCTTAGCAACCATCTCCAAATTTGACAGGAAATTTCAATCCATGTTGTCAGGAAGGTAACCTTAAGAATACATTTGAACGATGCCAAGGAGGGTAATTGATGTCCTTACTTCCATTCAGGGGCGCCGAGACCTTACCTCACTGGAATGAGGTTCTCAGCGCAGGGCAACTCAGATTCCTGTTTTCTCTGCATCCACTTTGCTAGCTTCCTGAATACAGTGAAGAGAGTCTTTTCTGTCCTTTCTCTAGGCTGAGTGGAGGTAGAAGGACTGAAAGGACTAGCAAAAACCATGAAATGCTACGCAGCCATAAAAAACGATGAGTTCATATCCTTTGCAGGGACATGGATGAAGCTGGAAACCATCATTCTCAGCAAACTAACACAAGAACAACAGAAAACCAAACACTACATGTTCTCACTCATAAGTGGAAGTTGAACAATGAGAACACATGGACGCAGGGAGGGGAACATCACACACTGGGGCCTGTCAGCGGGTTGGGAGCTAGGAGAGGGATAGCATTAGAAGAAATCCCTAATGCAGATGACAGGTTGATGGGTGCAGCAAACCACTATGGCACACTTATATCTATGTAACAAACCCAAACCTGCACGTTCTGCACATGTACCCCAGAACTTAAAGTATAATTTTTTTAAAAAAGGAGAAAACACCCCCATAAAAAAACAAAATGTAAAATAAAAAAGGAGTCCCTGCCCATCTTTACCCTCAGAAGGTACTAACTAGATCACGATTTTCTAGCTGCTGTCCACTGACCCTTGAGAAATAACCAGATTATTCTTAAGAGATATTCCTAAAGCCATATATGTATTCTGTATCTCCGGCTTGGGGTAAAAATTGCCCTGGATGAGGGGTTAGTTACAAACAAGCAGGTAAGATCAAATTGCAGACATCTTCATGCTGGAAACTAGATCTTGCTGCCCAGAGTGGGTGGGGTTACAGCAGACACAGGCAGGCTGAGCAGCAGTATCCCAGCCAGGCCTGTCTGAAACGTCAGTCTTGGCTGCCCCATTGCCCTCTCCCTTGGAGGCACCATGAGCATTATCTTCTTTTCATGCCAGGAGAGGAGGTGGGTGGGAGAAACCTGACCCTTTAATGCCAGACGCCCCGTGCAGCTGACGCAGGGCTGGATTCTCTTGCCAGACTTGGCTGGCCTCCCTCTGTGTTCGAAGCAGCATTAAGAAGATTGATTTCTGTTAGCCGGCCATAATGGGAGACTATAATGGCTGCGAGGGAGACATTTGGCTTGTGGACACCTTGTACAGGTGCCAGTCGCTTTGGGGGTGAGCCAGGCAAGGTTTCTAGATGTTTGGTTTGATCTTCTCACCTCCTCTCCTCTCTTCTCCTCCATTTTCTTTTCCCTTTCTCTTCCTCATTATCTTCCTGTTGGTCTAGAAAGGCTCCATGTATCTAGGACTCAGATCCCCTTGGCTTTGGACCCAGTGTGTTCTCTCATTAGATATTTCCATTTGTCTCTGCCAACTGCACAAAGGGGAGGAGTCTCTGCCACACCCCAGAGTAGGGGCCTCCCCACACATTCCCAATGATATTCCAAGATGGCCTTCAGGCTTGCAGGACAGTGCAAGCTTTTCCTTATGGAGTTTGACTGCTCCCAAGAGGAAACAGAGAGCTTGGCTGCCACAGGAGCTGAAGGGGGGTTCCCGGGAGCTCAACTTGCCTGTGATTCAGTTTATGCCACTTGTAGACCTCTGGGGCAAGGAGAAGGGAATTTGGCTTCTGGTAGGTTGGGAGAGCTATTTGGGCTGGTGTTACCAAGGCACTGCGGTCAGTTAACACCTCCTGGGAGGGGTTCTACAAATTCCAAAGCATGGGAACCCATGACCTCTTCTGTCACAGGCCCCCTGATCTGCCGAGGGTGCCTGCAGCGTTATTTGCTAGTCTCAGCCTCCCATCAGCTGCCCTGTGCTTGTAGAGGCAGCAGGGCAGAGATCACCGGCTGGCCAGGTGGAGAGTAATACATCTCCTTCCTGGTTTTCCTCCCTGATCCAAGGCTGCAAGATCCTGCTTCTGTTTGCTGCCACCAGCACTCAAACATGGGACCAAGGCCTCAGAAAGATGGTACGCTTACCCTCAGTTATGGGTGGGCACTATGTTGGACTTCTTTCCTGGAGGAGCTGGAGCCAGACTCCTTTGGAGCAGGCAGAGTCTTCTATTATAGCATGGCTGAGAAGGACCTTTGGAGGCCACTCAAGCTATCCACTTAGCACAGGCAAAATGGCACGCATAGAAATGAAGTCTATTCTAAGCATTAAGTTCCAGACACAGCTATTACTAGTGGGAAGGAGTGAGGAAAAATTCAAGTGTACCCTGCTATGTTACCTCTGACCCAGGTTCTCTCTCAGAGCAAACCATTTCCGTGAACATCATTCTTAAATCACAACTCAGAATAAAGAGGACACAGAAATGAGCCTTGCCATTTCTCCAACCTCATGTCTTACATTTTCAGCAATTTGCTCTTCTAGGAAGCTAGACTTCAGCCCCACAGCCCACCCCCTCCAACCTTCTCTGACATTTCTGTTTACATCCCCTGATTAAATGTTGCCTCCTCAGCAATGCCATCCCAAATGGCTCTGGATGAAGGTGTATCCCTCACTCCTCCAACAGTCATCCTTCCTGTCACCAGGTGTTTTCGTTTCTTCTACATAGCCTTACTGGAATCATCTGAAATGATCTTACTCATCGTATTTCTGTGCTTGTTTTTATGGGGAAGGTCTGTGTCTCTCACTAGAGTTTAACATTCCTGAGAACAGGGACCTTGGCTGTCTTGCATGTCCCCTTTTTCCCAGTGTCCATCAAGCAACAGGTATTCAGTAGATATATGCTGAATACAATTGAGTAACAGCAATAATAGCCCTGCCTTACTGATGCAGAGGCTTTCCTGGGGGTGGGAAGCACATCCCTCTGGGGCCAGAGAGAAGGAAAGGGGGTCCCATTGACATGCCCTGGGGCATTATTTTTTAACTGACTCTTTGTCCCCTATGTGGCTCCCCTCCTCACCTTCCTCTTATTTCCTTCTGTGGGGTCTCTCTGGGTGATGCTGATATCTGCATTCATGTTCCTTCTACTATGCTCAGTCACACAGCCAGGAAACAACATAATGAACACTTTACTCCTCAATTTAGCATACAAACTTAACTCTTAACTCAAGGCAATACAATGGCATACCGTGATACTAATGTAACAAAGAGTAAAATTGCCTATTGATCCACAAATACCTTCTAAGGAGAATCTTGTAAAACAAAAGACCCTTTTGTTCCACTGAATGCCTTGATGGGCTCTTATCCACATGGGAAGCCTGGAGATGAGGCAGCCAGACAGGGTTCCCCAGGTGGTGCAGCTGGAAGACTTTTAGGAATAGAAACGTGCAATGTTATCTTTGAAGATATGTGTATCTCAGCAAAGTAAATATCTCGATCACCTGAACCCTCAGTGAAGCCAACCTCATATATAAATGCTGTGTGAGAGTGTGTGTGTGTGAACAGAGAGGGGGTTCAAGCCCATTTGCGTCAGTATGGCATCTAATAGAGATGTTTTAGCGGTCCATGCATTGAACTCATTAAGCAGACACAGAAATTGGGGCTAGAATTGAGAATTCATATACCCTGCCCATATTACCTCCCCCTTCAATCCCAGTTATCTGACTTCCAACTGCCAGCTTTGGAGCCCAAGGGCTTTCTCTGAAACCTAGGAGGGCTTCTCTGTCCACCTTGGGCAGGCTGGAGTGCTGCGGGGTTGATGTAGTCTGGCAGCTTTTGACCAATGTCTGGTGAGAACTGATGTATAAATACCCCAGCCCATCGGATAGGATAACTCAGAGATCTGTGTTCTACATTGGCCTCCAGTTTTGCCACAGGATTAATTTCCAGTCACCTCTGGTGGTGACTGTCTTAATAACATACCTTTATTATCTTCTTCCTTATCTCACTTCCCCACTCACCTACCTATGTTTCCCTCACCTCCGGTCACAGCGAGGTCCCCATAAACAGAGCCTGAGACAAGGGTCTTGTTCATGTGATTTAGTGGAGGAGTGTCCTCAGGGAAGAGGAGAGAGGGCTGTAAGATGGGGCAGGGAAAGGAGCTGAACAAGGATGCAGTCCTGGCTGGGGCCTGGCTTCAGCCCAATCCTTTGGGGGAACTTCCAGAGCAAAAATTGTAACAGTTAGTGTCCCCTTCAGGTAAGGGGGCCAGCCTTTGGAACCCCTACTTCAGTTGGACATTTTCTGAGGCTTTTCCCTGAAGTGAAGTAGCATATAGCCTCCAAGCTGAGGCAGCGCCCGTCTGGCCAAAGGCAATTCTCCAGAAAAGCGGTCAACTGTGAAGTGTTGGCGGCCAATACTCACAGCTGGAGGATGGATATACCTGCCAGTATAGGGGATCCCAAGGAGCCTCACAGAGTTCAATATGCCCCCCACTAAACTTGCACCTTAATCTCTGTCTCAGGGTCTGATTCTGGGATAGAGAATGGGAGACAGGTTTATCCAGATATTCAGGAGAAGGGAAACCTCAGATTTCTTGACATTATATTCAAGTTCCTGTTTGTCCATCTGATTCCAGGGGTTATTTTGGACAACTTGGGGAGTTACCCAGTCAGTGACCCTTCTCTCTCCATCATTCATTTGGTGTGGAATGGTGCCTCTTCTTTTCAGCCGTCTCATTCTCATTGTCAATCAGCTGTGGATGTGGGGCTTTCTGCTTTCTGCCTGCATGCACCCCTCCTGGTCACTGCATCAGGTCTACACACTGAACACTAATAGCAGAAATGACAAAAATTGCCAGGTATTACCAATATAGCCAGCTGCTTTCTCAGAAAGCCACCTCCCCACCCGTTAGTCTGTGGGAAGAGATATCTGTGGTGTTGTAGGACTGTGTCTCTGACTTACATTTTCTTCCTGTAGCCTAGCCCCTCTGGGATACCATGCACCACAACCCATCTCTATGGGGCCTTGACATCCACCTAATTTTTGCTAGTCCCTGGCCGCAGACAGCCAGATTCTGTTTCCAGTAGTTCCAGTCAGCAGCTGGTTCTGGGGAAATTCTGCTCAATAGAAATATAATGCAAGCCACATATTTTCTAGTAAGCACATTAAAAAGGTAAGACAAACAGGTGAAATTCATTTCAATATTAGTTAACTCAATGTATTAAAAACCACCATTTCAACATGTCAATATGAAAATTATCAACAAGATACTTAATTTTTTTCGTATTAAGTCCTTGGGATCTGGTGTGTATTACACTGATAGTACCTTTCAATTTGGACTCGCTACATATCAAGTGCCTAATAGGCACATGGGGCTAATGGCTGCTGCATTGTGTGTGTGAACAGAGAGGGGTTCTAGTCTCTGGTAGTAACTTGGTTTTGTTGACGTGGCCTACCCAGAGGGTCTAGGCTGGACTAGAAATCATGTGAAGCCAGAGTACCTGCTCTTCTTGGTTCGGGGCAGCTGGCTGAGGCTGAGGTCATGATGATGCTGAGGTATAGTGATGGGTACAGGTACTGGAGGCCTGGAAGTCCTGTCCAGTGGGGATTCTCCAGAGTTGGAGGTCCTGGGAGCCAAGCAGTTTCTGATGCTGGTGGCATTCAAGAGGTGGTGAAGATATGACACTTACCTGAGGTGCTAGAGGAACTTTCAGACCAGTGTTTTTAACACTTTTGAAACCATCCCAAGATACTAGCAGGGGTTGGGAGAGATGGACAAACTATTAGGCTGAGGCTGATGCTTTTTGGGGATCCAGGACTGCCTCATTCATGTGAAGCCAGATTACAGCAAATGTTGCTGATCTGTGGCTTGTCTATTAAATATTAGGAAAGCCAACCATTCTTAATTCTAATTTTTTAAAAGGAAGATTTCAAAAGGGAAGAAGTGACAAACACACATTTAACCGGCATGCTTTCTATTGCATTAGTGAAGTCCTCAGTGAAGGTGTTAAAAAAGGCACACGTTTGGTATTGACCTCTTTGAAAAGCACTTCTGGATTTTACCATTAATAAGTCGTCTTTGGTTCTCACTCTCCAATTAGTTATGTGATCACCTAACAGTGTTTTGATCTGGACTGTATTTCTTGTTTTAATGATTAGCATTTCATACTTTAGACTCTTTGTGAAAAGGAAGATAAATTGCCCTTATTTCTTCTTTTGATCAGCCACACATACTGCTCCATAAAGAAAATGATCATATTTTTTTTACTCTCAAATGCCTATTACCTGACTTTTGAGCAAAATATATACTCACCTCATTTTTCAGAGGGGCCTTCAGCAATTACTGGACTTGTCTAATTGACTCACTTAAAAATACACGGAAATGGTGAGTATTGTGGTTTCTAACTTTCACTTTTGGTTGACTTCAACATTTGAAAGAATAGATTTTTTTTTTTTGAGACAGAGTTTCACTCTGTCACCCAGGCTGGAGTGCAGTGGCGCGATCTTGGCTCACTGCAACCTCCGCCTCCTGGGTTCAAGCAATTCTCCTGCCTCAGCCTCCCAAGTAGCTGGGATTACAGGCGCATGCCACCAAGCCCAGCTAATTTTTGAAGTTTTTTAGTAGAGATGGGGTTTCAACATGTTGGCCAGGTTGGTCTTGAACCCTTGACTTTGTGATCCGCCCACCTCAGTCTCCCAAAGTGCTGGGATTACAGGCGTGAGCCACCGTACACGGCCTTAGGCTTTTAAAAACCACAAATTATTTTTCTGGAGGAAATTCAGAATAAATAAAACACACACACACACACACACACACACACACACACACCCCAATCACTATAGGAACTATTACAGTCTTCTCTCATTTGTTCTGCAAGTTGCCTTTTCACAGAATGCTGTATTGAAGACCCACTTATGTTAAGCACAAATAGTTCCATGTCACTCTTTTTTTTTTTTTTTTTTTTTGAGACGGAGTTTTCCTCCTGTCATCCAGGCTGGAGTGCAGTGGCGTGATCTCGGCTTACTGCAACCTCTGTCTCCTGGGTTCAAGCAATTCCCCTGCTTCAGCTTCCCAAGTAGCTAATATTACAGGTGCACACCACCGCACCCGGCTAATTTTGTATTTTTAGTAGAGACGGGGTTCCACCATGTTGGCCAGGCTGGTCTCCAACTCCTGACCTCAGGTGATCTGCCCACCTCGCCCTCCCAAAGTGCTGGAATTACAGGTGTGAGCCACCACACCTGGCCCACATCACTCTTTTTGACTATTTCATGATATTTGGTAGTATGGCTGAATCATAGTTCAGTCACTGCCTTAGTGTCAATGACTAAAGGTTAGTTAGTCAGTGGCTTAAGTAGCATCTAGGTTATTCTCAATGTTTTTGCTGTTTTAAGATTTGCTAGACTGAACACCTTTGCACATTGGCTTCTTAGTGGCTCCATGGTTGTTTTTCTAAGTTGGTGCTGAGCAGCAAAATTGTAATTTATAGATGTGCCCAGTTTAAGCTTTTGAAGATACTTCCAAAATGCCCTACATAGTAAAAATTTATTCTACTACAATTCATACTTTTGCTATCCATATCTTTGTCTACATTTAATATTAGTGAACATTTGCTTTTACCAGCCTGTTGTGTGAAAAATTATATCTATTTTATACTGGTAAGGTAATTTTTCTATGGTAAATATGTACAAAATAATAAATATAGTATACATATATATGAATACACAATTCAAATATTAATAATAAAACAGGCTCCCAAGTCCCTACCACTCAGCTGAATATTGTGATCCTTTCCAATTGTGCAGCAATAATTCACTCATTTTTGCTCCTGTATAAGAATACACAATGATTTATTTTTCTGTTTTACAATGATGGACATTTGGGTTATTTCCTGTTTTTTCCTATTATGGATTGTGAGCCTATAAGCTTTCTTATGTCTGTCTCCTGGCATACATGTGCTAAGGTATTCCCAGTCATGAAATTGCTGACTTCTAGGTGTAGTGGAGACTGACAAAAATGAATTTTGTCCACCCAAAATCATTTTCCCCATCTTACACATGGGTGTTCATCTAGACTGCATTTCCCAGTCTCCCTTTTAGTTGGATATGGCTATGTGACTAAGTCCTCACTAGTGGAATCTAAGCAGCTTTCTATTCTGCTACATTAGGATCAGAGCCTTAAGGTGGTGGGTGTACCTCCTCCATGCTTTCTTCTCTTTCTCACTAGACAAAACCAAAATGTGGTGGTGAGCCAACTTCAATTTTGCAGAAACTGACTTGGAAAGAACTGATTACCTGAACGACTGTGAGAATCAAAGTTGTCTCACTGACCAGGCTGTAAACTTTGGAACTGATAAGTGAGAGAGATAAGGTAAACTTCTTTACCTTTAAGCCATTTATTGTTAGTGTCTTTATTATGTCTAATTAATACATAAAGAAGCACATGTTAAACTTCACTGAGTGATGCCATACTTCTACCCAAAACCTTTGAAGCAATTTACACTCCTACCGGCATTTTATGACAGCTCTTGTTGCTCTATATTCTACCAACCCTAGCTATTGTCTGACTTTATTATGTTTACCTATTATGCATTATCTCAGTGTTGTTTTCATTATCAAATGAGGTTGCACACTTTTTCAGATATTGTTAGCTTATTCAGAGTTACTTATATCTGAAATGTCTTTTGTCCTCTTTTTAACACTTTTTAACACTGGGTGTTTTTTTGTAGTCAAAATATATAATATATAAATATATATATTTCTATAATATAAAATTTTCATGTTAGCCATTTTAACTGTATAATTCACAATGCTATGCAATCATCACCACTATTTATTTCCAAAGCCCTTTTATCATTTCAAACAGAAACTCTGTACTCTTTAAGCAATAACTCCCAATTCCTCTTCCCCTGTCCCCTGGTAACCACTAATCTACTTGCTATCTCTGTGAATTCACCTACTCTAGATATTTCATGTAAGTGGAGACATACAGCCTTTGTCCTTTTGTATGTGGTATAAAAATATGGAGTGCTTCACAAATTTGCATGTTACCTTTGCAGAGGAGCCATGTTAATCTGTATCATTCCAATTTTAGTATATATGCTATCAAAGCGAGCACTTGGGTGCTTTTGACACATTTATTTCATATTGATTTGTAGAAATTCTTCATATAGTCTAGATACCAATACTTTTTAAATTAAGTTGCAGATATTGTCTCTCAGTGTGTGGCTTAACTATGTTTACGGTGTCTTTTTGCATCAAAGTTTTCATTTTATTAGTCAAGTGTATCTGTATTTTCCTTTGTAGTTTGTGCTTTTTGTGTCCTGTTTATGACATTCTCCTCCTTACAGCCCAGTTCATTTAGCTATTCTCCTATGTTATATTCAAAAAGATTATGAAGTCTTCCTTTTAGTATTGGTCTTCAGTCCACCTGGAATTGATACTTGTGTGAGAAAGGAATCTAATTTTATTTTTCAGATTGTCTTGGCAACGCTTATTGAATAGTTTATCCCTTCTCACCATTTTGTAATGTTTCCCTTGACATCTATTTTTCATTATACATTGGTCCTAAATCTCTATATCAATTCCATATTGTTTTAATTATGGTAGCTTTATAATAAGTTTTGATAGCTGATAAGGCAAGGCCTTCCATTCTCTTTGTCTTCAAAATTGTCTTCGTTATTCTTGCCTTTGCCTTTGAACTTTAGGGTCAAATTGTCAGCCTTCAAAAATGTTATGGGGATTTTTTTGTATTTGTATTGAATCTATAGGAAAAATTGGGGAAAATAGTCATGAGATTTCTCACCCATAAACATAGTATATCTCTCCAGTTATTTAAATGTTGTTTAATAAATTTTTATATGTTTTTTTATAAGTCCTTTAAAAACTTCCTTAAGATTTGTTCCAAGATATATTAGAGTTTGTATTGCCATTAAAAATGCTGTATTATTCACATGGACACAAAAATGGGAACAACAGACACTGGGGACAGCTTGAGCGAGGAAGGCGGACGCAGTGGTGGGTTGCAAGGCTACCCATCAGGGTACTATGCTCACTACCTGGGTGATGGATCATTTGTACACCAAGCCTCGTTTACCTATGTAACAAACCTGCACATGTACTTCTGGAACCTAAAGTAAAAGTAGTAGGAGAAAAAAATGCTGTATTGTTAAAAAATTACTTATTCTTATTTGTTGCTGATGTTTAAGAAAGCAACAGATTGTTATATATTGACTTTGTAACTAGCAAAGTTGCTCATGATTTATGTTTGGTCTAATGATTTGCCTGTATAGTCTCTTGAGTTTTCTACAAAATTTTGCTGTCTGTGGCCTAATGTAGTTTTCTTTCTTTCTGTCCTCTCCTTATATTTTTCATGTCTCTTTTATGTCTTACAGTGCTAGCTCGGGCCAGCAGTGAAACGTTGACTAGAAACGAGGAGAGTAGGCATCCTTTCTTCTTCCCAGCTTTAAAGAGAATGCTTCCGATGTTTTGCCATGAAATGTCATGTTTTCTCTGGGCTTTGGATAGATACCGTGTCTTAAGTCCATTTCTATTATTTTATTAAATAGTTTTAAGTTGTGAAAATGTTCTGATTTTTAATCAAATATTCTGTCTGTGCCTATTGAGATGATCATATATATGTTTTGTCCTTTAATCAGTAAATGAGACAATAGATTTCTTTAAAATTAGACAACTTTTTCAATCCTGGGACAAGGATTATGTCAGCTTCCTAATATCATTCGGGAAATACATCCTTGAGTGTTTGGAGTAGAAACCATTAACAAAACTGTTTAGAGTTAATGTTGTTTCTTTTTTTGGTGGGTAGTTTTTTAATTACCAATTCAAATTCTTTCATGATAATCAGTTTACTCAAATATTCTATTTTTTATTGTGAATCAGGTTTGATATATTGTATTTTCTTCTCAAGAAAAATTGCTATTTCATTCAAATGGCTCACAGTATTTTCTACTGTTTTAAAGTTTTACTGTAGCCATATGCCCTCTTTTCCACCCATAATATTATTTATTTTTGTTTTGTCCCATTATACACTCCACCCCACCTCTTGCAAACTAGCACAGTCTTGTCAGAAGCTTTTTTGTACTTTATTAATTTATTTTTTTCAGTGAGTAAGCTTTGAGATGTGGGGGCCTTGTTGATAATTTCTTTATTTTTCATTCCCATGTTTACATATTTATCTTATCAATTTTCTTCTATTCTAATATTCTTTCTAATATTCCAAGGTAAGGTACAGATTTCCTGTAGATACCACTTTAGCTGCATGCCAAGGTTTTGAATGGTAGTGTTTTAATTATCATTAAATTTTAAATACTTTTCCGTATGCATTATGATTCCTTACTTAAAGTTTATTTAAGTGCATTTTTCAAAGTTTGTTTGGTTATTGATTTCTGATTAAATTGTGTTGAGGTCAGAGAATATGATCTGTATGACAAATTATTTAGTCTTTATTGAGCCTTGCTGTTTGGCTGGTAAGTCGT